GTACTGAACTAGGAATCTCAAAATTGAATTCTTTCAATCTGTTAAATAACATGTTTTATTATTCCGCTGAATAATCATGTGTTTTCTGAAATCTGTCAAATTGTCTGACCATACCTCTTTGATATTTAATCCACAATTTTTCTTGTAAATTTCATCCAAGAACTCTAATAGAAAATCCGCATCTTCATCAATATCCAACTGATGGCCAAGCCAGCTCACAAAATACTGAATTTCTGATTTTGCTTTTGATTGGAAGTGACATTATGAAAATCCTATCTAATTTCCTCTTTGGCAGGGATGTAACCTAGGATCGCATATCCACTGGTCTTATGGTTTAGACTCCAAGAATCCCACAATTTACATTTACTTTCTGCCATTTCTCCAAATAACTTCAAAGATTGTGGCTTTCCATCACAGTCTTCTCAGACTCCAAATTTCACCTTTAGGCAGCCATTCTTTGCTATCATTTCCCAATCTCAAAATCCAACCGGTAAAGGATAGAACTGAAGTCAACGTTTGCTCAGCTTTATATTTGTAGAGTGAAAAGTTACAAGCAGACACCACTTAACTCAGCCACACAGCAGTTTTAATAATTATTTCTTTATACGAGTAGACATTAACCTAGAATTTGTTGGGTTAGTTGAAATGAAATGAAAGTAAAAAGAAAGAAATGAAGCTTGCCTTATTGAAAACGTTAATGGTTAGATGGTGACCTAATAATAGGAAGGTCACTGCTCTTGATGTTTCTGTGACTGAAAGAATATGTGTACGTGTTTGGATTAATGATTTAAATTCAGCAATAATGGCCCAAACTCTTTTACAGTAACTCTGAAAGTCTGGAATCTTGTTTTTAAACAGACACAGTGGTTCAAATGCAATGATGCGTCTATTTATCAGCTAAGCAAAGTATATTCATCACAGAATTGCGCTGTGCAAGTATCAAACAGTTAATTGGATGACATCACTGTAGTAATAACATGAGCAACCAAGACTGAGGTCAATGTTTGCTAAAATCAAGCGATAAGCGTCTTTGCAGGGGAAAACAGGCAAGTCCAAATGGGTCGTGATCAAACCAACCATGGAAAACACAACACATTTGTGATGATTGCCAACAGTCAACACATTCAAACTGCCGCAGATTTGGACAGTATCATAGTTTGATACTTGGATGGAGAAAGTTGTAAGAATGGTTGTCTCACAGCAATAGTTAGCAAGCTCAGGACAAGGTCATCTGATCAGTGAGTCGATGTTGAGATGAACCATACTGACCACCTACTTTGGTCTGAGCCTTGGATAAGTCCAGATAAACTTGTGATCATAAGCAGTGTATGAATAAGATTTTTGCAATATTTGCTGTTGTGTTTTTTGCTTTAATAAAGAACATTGGGTTTTGTGGTTAGAAATGCCTTGTGACATCCAGAGTAAATCCAACGGACCAGGGAATGTAGGAATAAAAGTCTACATTGGCGCTTAAATGAAGTCCCAGATAATGCCCACCTATAATTAATTAAACACAATAAATATACTATTAAGATTGGAGGTTTAATAAGATGGCAGTGGTACTGACTGTACCTCTGGCCCAGAAGTTCAAGTCCTAAGTGCTACAGAGATATGTCATGACATGTCCAAACAGGTTGATTTTAAAAAATAACACTTTTCCTTTCCATGTCTTAAAAAAATATTGCTGCTGAAAAGTAGTAATTTGAACTTGTGCATTGCTGTAAAAAGGACATTTTATCAAAGCATTTTGTCTTGTTTTGACTCATCAGGGCAATTCACAAGAAATACCAAAGTAACCAGAATCCAACATTTATGCTTTATTAGAGGAGAGTGCTGATTGGTAGATGTTTTGCCACTTCCCCTTGGGCACAAAAATTTTAAGCCTTTTGTATGACCAATAACATGGAGAATTAAAAGAAAAAAATTAACAAATGTTGGAATTCTAATTTATTGGGAAACCAGGCTGAATACAAAAAACAGGGAATAATTGAAAAAATAAAATAAAAGGGACAAACAGAACGCATTACAATAGTTTAGAAGATAACATAAAAGGAAACTCAAAATGATTGTATAAAAGTATAACTAGTAAAAGGATAGTCAAATGAAGGATGCAAGGGACCAAAATTAGGGACCAACAGAGATCTTCTTGTCAACTGGGGTACTAAATGAGTATTTTGCATCTGTTCGTGCTGAAGAAGAAGATTCTGCCAATGCCAATGTCATAGTAAAGGAGGTGGTAATAGAGAATATATCTGGGAGAAAAATAGGAAAAAATGTGGTCCTATAAAAGTTGGCAGCACCCAAGGGAGAAAAGTCACCCATATGCCTGGGATGCATTCTAGATGGCTAAGTAAGCTAAGGTTGGAAACTGGGGAAGCTCTGAACACAATCTTGCTATCCTCCTTAGATAGGGGAGTGTTCTTCCAGTTGAATGGAGGATTGAAAATTTTACATTGATGCTCAAAAATTGGGAGATGGATAAACCTGGCAACTGCACGCCAGTCGATGTAAACATTAATGACGAGGAAACAATTAATTAAACTATAATTCAATAAAAATAGGTGAGACCTGATAAATATGGGATAATAAATGGAATCCAGTGCAGATTTGTCAAAGACAAATCATGTTTTACGAACACAATTGAATTTGTGAAGAACTAATAGAGAGAACTGATGAGAGCTGCAACTGTTATTCTGTAACCCATCTTTATAAAGACATTTAACAACTTACCTCATAATTAAATTGTTATGAAAACTAAAATCTGCAGAATTAAAAGGGCAGTGGCATGACTACAAAAATGTTTAAGGATCAGAAATCAAAGAGTAATAGTGAACTGTTGTTTTCTAGACTGGAGCTGTGTGAAGTGGTGTGTCTCCTAAGCATCAGTATAGGAATCACTATTCTTTTTGATATACGTTAATGACCTGTACTTGGGTGTACATGGCATAACACTAAAGTTTGCAGATGGCATCAAGTTCAGATATGTACTGAACAAAGCCGAGGCTGGAAGGAAAGTTCAGGAGAAGAAAGGTAACAGACAGATACAAGACAAATGAAATTTAATACCAAGAAGTTTTAAGTGATTCATTTTATAAGACAATGTAAACTAGATGAATCATAGAATCCCTACAGTGTGGAAACAGGCCCTTCGGCCCAACAAGGCTACACCAACCGTCAGAGCATTCCTCCCAGACCCATTCCCCCTATAACCCACCTAATCTACACATTCCTGAACACTATGGGCGATTTAGCATGGCCAATCCACCTAACCTGCACATCTTTGGACTGTGGGAGGAAACCGGAGCGCCCGGAGGAAACCCACACAGACACGGGGAGAATGTGCAAACTCTACACAGACAGTCACCCGAGGGTGGAATCGACCCCAGGTCCCTGGCACCGTGAGGCAGCAATGCTAACCACTGAGCCACCATGCCACCCACCCATGTCTCCATAGAGACTGGAGCCTCCATTCAGAAATGGTATTTTTTAACGGGGTTGTGACAGAGAGATATAGGTTAATGGTAGACAAGACTTTGAAAATGCCAGGGCTAGTTGCAAAAATTGTTAAAAAGGCATTTGAGATTCCTTGGTTGTGTAAGTAGATGCATAGAGTACAAACCAAGGAAGTTATGTTAAGTATTTACAAAATACTGGTTAGGCCATAACTGGAGTATCATAGATAATTTTGGGCATCAGATTTTAGGAAGAGTGTTAACTTCCCAGAGAGGATGTAGATGAATTTTGTAAAAACGTATAAAAGATGCATGACTTCAATCACTTGCGGACACTAAAGAAATTGGGGTCTTTATTAGATGAGAAGGTTCAGGAAAGATTAGATAGATTTGTTCAAAACTATGAAGGGCTTTGTGAGAATACATAAGATTAAGCTGTTTCCAGATGCATAAGAATTGCCAACCATAGCGCATGGATCTAAAACTGGCAAATTAACCAGAGGTGATTCATGGAAACATTTTTCTCTACAGTGACTCCTCTTGGATGTGCTACTTGAAAGGCTGATAAAAGAAGGTGCAATAACAGCTGTGAAAAAAGTTTGGCAAAGTTGCTGGAACATTGTTAATATTATGAAGAAAGAGCAAATGACTGGGGGATCAATTTGATAGCCCTTTCAAAGAGACAATACAGAACCAAAGAGTCAAACAGCCTCATCTGGTCCAGTCTTATTGTATAATTCTGTCCTACTGAACTAATACATTTATAATAATGTCCAGTATACTATAGACTCTACTTCTCTCTTAACAATGGATGTTGTTTTTAGATAGAAACAGTGGTAATTGTTTCGTCAAAGTAGAAACAAACTACTTGTAAAATAAATTAAAAACCTCAGTGCTTGAAATTTCTAAACACTCAGAAGGTATCATGCAGTTAGGTACAACAGTGAGCCTTTTTAGTGTGAACTTACAGTGAGCTCATGAACAACAAATCACAGTAACAAAATTCTTACATTTCAATTCTGGTATCACGAATGACTGGTACGATATTTCCATGATACTGGGGTCACTTTCTGCTTATCATAAATGTCTAAGTTTCAATCTCTCATTGTTTAGCCCATAGGCAATGAATCAATGTAAACTAGTCAGTCCTTGTCAAACTGAAACATATGTGCATAAATAATTACACATATAAAAATCATTCCAGTTCAGTTGCAGAAAACAGTTTCAGTCTTATGAAAGACTGAAAACTCTAAATTCAACAGGAATATGTGTGTTGGATTGGGAATTGGAGGATCTGTCCAAGATATTTTCAGAGGAAGAGAATATTTTAAATTAAGAGAGAAAAATATTGTAAAGTTATCTTGCTCTGAGGTCTCTCAAGTAACTTGTTAGATTTAATCTAAACTTTCTGATCAAAGCCTGCGATCCTGCATTAGCTGAAATTATTTTTTCTCTCCATCTTCATCTCCAACTCCATCAGCCAAATCTTATTCTTTATGTAATGAAGATGCAACTATTAACATAATCTTCCATAAAATGGTTTCTTACTTGTGGTGAATGTGATAACCTGCTCCATTAATCTTCCAATCTTTGTTCAAAGGGTCAGAAATTTTACAGGTTCGAACGGTCAGGTGCTGCACATCTCGCCATGTAAGGTTAGGTCTAAATAAGAAAAAAGATTTATAAACAAATTAGATCATTTCCTTTTGTCGAAATCAACTGGCTTTAAATAGTCAACTTCACCATTTCTTCTTAAATCTGTATTACCTTACATGTGAAGTTACATTCATTGCATTGTGTGTAATCCAAGTAGTGAGAACAATTTCCTTAAACAGAGAGGAGCAATTTGGACATTGTTAAATTGTGAACTGCTCCAAATTTAAATACTCAGAATGTAGCTAGTTTAAATAAATTGAAACATTGTATTCTTTTCTCATTACTGAAAAGAGTTATTTGGAGATAGCAGAGAACAGTAATTCTACGTATGGAATAAGTACTTCTTTGAAAAATGTATTTATGTTACGCTTTGAAAAATTGTCACGCATGGTTGGGGTCCTTTCTTGTTTCTAACTATTATCAGCCAGGCGAAAATCCAAAGATATTACTATTTTTTGTCTGTGATTGTGCCCCTGAATGTAAAGAGTCAGCAGTAATGCAAATACTAAAGATGGTGGACTGGTACCTGTGTTAGTCTGCCAGCTCCACACGAGGATAAACGTGGCTTTCATTTTCAGCTAACTTACTTCCTGATTTATACACATGAACTTGGCTGATGATTAGTCTGCACATAAAACAGAACTATTGAATTAACCAGAATTTCTTACATAGAATAATAATGGCCCCGATTTTACAGTGACAAATAAGACAATGGGACTCATTGCTGACCTTGAGTTTCCTACAAAGATTTATTGCCTGTTCTTTCCTTTAATCGACGTTAGATTAAATCTGGTGCCAAGTAGCCTGTTACAAGGTAGTATTCCCACAGTCAGAAAACCAGGAAGCAAAAAACTAATGCCTAAAGTTAATTTTCAATACAATTTTACAGACAGCAAAGTAAGATCACAGGGGTTTGAAGTAAAATCTGAAATACCACATTATATGGGAAGATATGTTTCAATATAATGGAGAATTCAGGCACTAATGAACATTAAATCAGTTTTTCAAAACTACAAAGACTGATCAGCAAAAACCAGGAACTTGATAAAGCATTAGAACCCAATTATACATCAATCAACAAGCTGTAATTCTTTCAAGAGCTTTTACACTAATATGAATAATATAAAATGGCAGGTTGTTGCCAGGTCAGTAATTTTTAATTGATTTCAGTCTGGGTAGGTCAAAAGTGCACTCTGTGGCAAAGCAGAGTTTCAGTGATAACAAATTCTGGATTACTGATTTATCTGTACATGGATGGATTCAAGACACTGCTGTCAGTTTAAAGGGAATAATGACAGTGATTACTAACAGTTTTCAGTTACATTTGAGTGGTGTGTAGAAATAGACCATTAAATCACACGATAGGGCTTTCCAAATGTGGTCAGTGTTCAAGAACGGAGGAGTGTGACAACAAGTGAGGCAGGGAAGGGGATCGTGATGTAGCGCAGGAGCTTCAGTTTTTGCAATTGTCCAACAAGTCTGAGGTTCTTTCAATGGGCCGGGATAACAGTAAGGGCAGCAGAAGGGGATGAGCTAACTCACCATGGAACTGTGGCACATGATGTCATTCAAGCTGGGGAGAAAAAATGGAATGCGGTAGTTATAAGGGACACCATAGTCAAAGGGACTGAAATCATTCTCTGTTGAAAGAGAAAGAGAAAAAAAAAGCTGGAAAACTGAGCAGGTCTAGCAACATCCTGTGGAGAGAAAGCAGAGTTAATATTTCAGGTCCAGTGAGCCCTCTTCGAAGCAGGCTATACTAGACCTGGTATTGTGCAATGAGATAGAGCCAGTTACAAATCTTGCAGTTAAAGCACACTTATGCAGCAGTTACCATATGATGACTGAATTTTACATTCAGTTTGAGGGCAAAAGTAATGGGTCTGAGATTTTACATTTAAACTTGAATAAGGGTCATCACGGTGGCATGAAAGCATAGCAAAGAGAATAGGAAAATTAGGTTAAAGGATAGGACAATAGAGGAGCAGTGGCAGACAATTTAGGGGATATTTAAGATTACACAAGAGATTACACAAATAGATTCATAGCAAGGGAAATCATGTTTGACCAATCAATTGGAATTCTTTGAGGTGATAACATATGCTGCGGCCAAAGAGGATCTGGTGGATTTACTGTGCTTAGATTTCCAGAAGGCATTTGGAAGGTATCACATCAAAGATTACAGTGGAAAGTAAAAACTCATGGTATGGGGGGGGGCAGCGTATGGGCATGGATCAAAGACTGGCTGGTCAACAGGAAGCAGAAAGTCAGAGGGAGGTGATGGTCTTGTGGCATTATTGCTGGACTGTTAATCCAGAGACCCAGATAATGTTCTGGAGACCTTGGTTTGAATCCCGCCATGGCAGATGGTGCAATTTGAATCCAATAAATATCTGGAATTAAATATCTAATGATGACTATGAATCTATTGTCGATTGTTGGAAAAACCCATCTGGTTCACTGATGCCCTTTAGGGAAAAAAACTGCCTGGATGTGACTCCAGACCCACAGCAATGTGTTTGACTCTTAAGTGCCTTCTTGGCAATTAGAGATGGATAATAAATGCTGACTAGCCAGCGATGCCCTCAACCTGCCAATGAATAAAGGAAAAAAAGGCATAAATGAATCTTTTTCAGATTGGTAATGTGTAACAAGTGGTGTGCCACAAGGATCGGTGCTGGGACCTCAACAGTTTACAATTTATGTAAATAACTTGGATGAAGGGACATAAGGCAACAGTCACCGGATTTGCTGATGAGACAATGTAAGTAGGAAGTTAAAATGTGAAGAGTGCATAATCAGGCTACCAAACAAAACATAAATCAGTTAAGTGAATGAATAAAGGTCTGGCAAATGAAGCATAATATGGAAAAATGTGGAATTGCCCATTTAGGCAGGAAAAATAAAGACAACATATTTTTCAAATGGGGAGAGATTGCATAGCTTTGAAATATAGAGGGACCTGGGTGTCCTAATCCATGAATTACAAAAGTGTGGTATGCAGGTACAGCAAGTAATTAAGAAAATGAATACAATGTTATATTTATTGTAAGCTGAATTGAACAGAAAATTCAAAATAATCCAGACTGTGTTGAGTTATACCAGAAACTAATTTAATATCATCAACCGGGCTCGCAATGTGATGCATTTGTGCTTGCTAGAAGCTACATACATAAATATTCAGGATCCTATTTGATGTAGACAAAAGCTATTTGGACATACATTGTACCTTTTTCAAAAAAACAGGTCATGGAGATAGCTAAACTCTGTTGCATCCCTGTGGCAACACCCTCAACAATCAGAATCTGTCTTTAAGCTCTGAGGATTAAGGGACAGTTAAGTGTTCTTGCTCCATCCCCATAGGAACATAGCAATCAGGAGTGGGAGTAGGTTATTTAGCCCTTTGAGCCTGCTCCACCTTTTAACACGATCATGGCTGATCTTATCCTGGTCTCAACTCCACTTTCCTGCTTGTTCCCCATAGCCCTTTATCCCGCTTTTCATCAGAAACATAACTATTTTTTTCTTGAATCTGTTGATTGATTCTGCCTCCACTGCACCCTTGTGGCAGTGAGTTCATCAGATTCACAACCCTCTGAGAGAAGTAGTTTCTTCTCATCTTAGTTTTGAACCTACCTCCTCTCACTCTATATCTATGCCCTCTTGTTCAAGACCGTCCCACATGGGGGTACATCTGTCTCACATCCACCTTATCAATCCCCTTTAGCATTATCTACACCTGAATCAGATTCCCCCTTCATTCTTCTGAACTCTAGCGAGTGCTAGTCCAAGCTATTCAACCGTTCCTTGTACAATGGCCCTCTTATCCCTGGAATCAACCTGGTGAATCTCCTCTGAACTGCCTCCAGTGCCACCACATCTTTCCTCAAGTAGAGAGACCAGAACTAGACACAATGTTCCAGACAACACAGTGTGGAGCTGGAGGAACACAGCCAGCCAGGTAGCATCAGAGGCAGCAGGAAAGTCGACGTTTCAGGTCGGGACCCTTCTTCAGAAATGGG